AAAATGATTGTCGCGCAGAGAACTGGATGTGTACATAAAATCGCGCCAAAACATTATTTAAGCATTAAGATCAGCTCAGGCCGATAAGAGCTTGTTGTTACTTATTCTGAATTCACATTACGGTCTTATAATAATTAATATTAACATTTTAATAATATTTCATAGATATTAAAGGAATAAGAAACGTATAATATCAAGGATATTATACGTATTTATATATTTATATGTATAATTTATATTCGAAAGATTTAGTTATCCTGGGAATGTGTGTGTGTGCAAAGCACAGCAGATATTCCACGTTGAACAGGAAATAACAAAAGTTTTGCGCCGCAGCCGTAAACGCGACGAGACTTTAAACGAGCTTACATAGCGATTATATCAAATATAGTCAGAGTAAAGTGCACCCGTCTCTCGGAAGGCACTCCTTCGTTAATATTGTCCGACGAGGAGAGGCGAGAGGAAGGAATTGGGCCGTAGCGTGGGCCGAAGGCTCGTAGGAAGAAACGCGCTCTCGCGCTCTTCGACCGCGAGACTATATTTAAACGCGCGCTCGTCTAAGATGAATATTTCGAAATTGTTGATTTTAAGGTCGATCGCGCGATAAACGCGTGACGTCTTGACGAGAGCCATTTTGTTCCGATCAATATTTATTCATGCTCTGCCATCGTCGAAAACCGCGCGGTCGTCGGCTCTCGCTTTCGCTTCTTTCAATCATTCTTCCTTACTAGTTGTTTTTTACGCATTCGTATGGTTACTCCTGGCCCGCGTTTTCGGAGATAATCGATATTTCCATCGTACGTAGACACGTAATTCGTATTTGTGATATCGATCTCACGGAAAATCAGGAATCCTCGTGTAACTTTCTAAAACATCAACTAACAGTAACGTAACATCAATGTTTTAATTTCATACTCAACAATTTAATGCTGTTGGGCCACAGCATACAGAAAAACTTAAGCAGTAAAACATAAGCGATAAGGAAATCAATATGTTGAATTTGTTTACTGCTTATATTATGATCTTAAGGTCTGCACCGTGATTGATCAATTTGCTTGCTTACGTTTTACTTAAGTTTTTTTATAGGGATGGACAGGATATCCGGAAAATCCAATATCCGGAATTTTTTTACTATATTCGAGCTAATAGCCGGATATTATTAGTATTCGATATTATATCCTGTTGAAATATCGTATTGACAGTTTGTGTCATTAACGCAGAATTTTATTCTTTTCAGCTGTATTTCTTGTACAGTTCAACTTTCCTCTTTTTCTTTTCACACGTTGGGAAAATAAAGAAAATTATTACCATTATTTTGCCTTTTTTCAAATATCCAGCAGGATATCCGAAGAAATATCCGGTTGAATAATTACCTTACCGGATATCTGACTGGATATCGGATATCAGAAAAGAATTTGTCACCGGATATTCTGTAATTTTAGAATCCGGTGCATCCCTAATCACTGATATATTTTTTAGAGATAACACCGGATATTTGCCACATATTCATTACATTACATTTATATTAAATTTATATATTAAATTACATTGCATTTATATTATTGAATGTGACATTATAATGTAGGGAAGGACGGTGTTATTCCGTCAGTTTCAACTTTACTAACTAAAGTAATACGAAAATTTGCGATAGCAAACAACGTCTCAGTGACGTGCTTGTAATTACATTATACAATCATAATTGCTTCTTGAGAGTACAAGTGCAATCTTTAAATAATCAACATATACTCAGAAACATAAACATTATCGTGAGAAATGGACGAAAAAGTTCGAATCCCGCTCTATCCAACTTAGTTGGTATTAATTGGTATTTACTGCGGGTTTCCAGTGAGATATGTAACGAAATTTTATCGTGAAAGGAGAGACGCAATGAATTCAACCGTGAAAGCTTCCCGGAGTGACGTTAACTGGGCTTATCAATTGCGTGTCATAAAATTAATGTCGAATCGAGGCAAAAGCGATTTGCCGAAAGGACATCGGCAATAATACGGCCAAAAGAGCCACGACAAAACCAACATCGTTCCATAACTCTTTCCAAGTTTATATGTTACGTGCATTATATGTGCACATTACGGGAAGAACGCAAAATGTTTTGCTTGCAGACTGGGGATCGAATGTTTACCGACATCCTAAAATTGAATAGAGTTAAGAATAAGAACAAATGAAATCCGGATGCGGGTGAAGGGAAATTTACATATCGATCTGAGACTGAGACGCGTGAAGTGGACTCACCAAAAACACGAGGCTTATGGCCGCCAGCGAGTACTTGGAGAAGTTGTAACAAAACGTCCCCATTTTGCCCGGATCGAAATGGAACGGGAATAACGAAAACGCGAGATTCTAGCGACAATTCGAATGACCACGCACGGCGCGACGTTTCGACGCGGAACGTCAGCTGCAGCTGGAACACCGTTTCGCGAACGATATACGATCTAACGAATATCGTAAGATCCGTAGGACGCGCGTCCCGCTTTTACCGCCCGCTTCCGTAGACGCGCTCCTCTCTTGGGGGAGATCTCCGACTCGATGGCGGTGAAGGCGGCAGGAAGCGGCGCGACGACGCTTTGCCCTCGCGTCCTCGATACTTGACGGGGATTTACAAGCCAACGCTCGGCGCAACACGACAATCCATCTTCCACCAGCCTTACGCGAGCGACTCCGTCCACGACGCACTTGAATACACTTAAATACACTAGAGAGTGGAGAGTAGAACCGGAGCGGAGCGGAGCAGACGGCGGATTGTTAGTGTCAGTGATCCGGGGGATTGTCCAGTGCAACTAGCGCTACCAGCTGGTGAATACAGAAATTAAAACGATTACATCATCTGTACTGCGCTCGGTAAATGTGCGATGACGATAGTGGTAGCCGATAATTTACCTACTGTCGGTACTTATAATTTACCTACTGTCGTTATTTTATAATTTACCTATTGACAGTACATATATCTTTTTTTTTATTATAGTGGAACGCACCCTTCAGTGCTTTAGGGTATCTATCGTAAAACTTTTTTCCCCAGGATGAAAAATGAAAAGTGAAAAATTTCTCCATTAACTTCAATGGTTAAAATTGTCACTTTCCACTTTTCATCTTAGGCCGGGTTCACACCTTGACGGAAAAGCGAAAAGCAGAAAAGCGGAAGCCAATCGGAATTTGCAGTAGTAGTAGGCAGTACATTTCGCTTGTCTGCTTCTTTCCGCGAGTTCTGATTGGCTTCCGCTTTCCGTTTTTCCATTAAAGTATGAACTCGGCCTTAGAAATAAAGTTTCATGATACTAGAGAAAAACCCGAATTGATATATATATTTATATTGAATATATATATATTTACATTCAATATAAATATATACATCGATTTATATTGAATATGAATACAAATTTATATCGATTTTTATTTATACTTGGTTCATATTGAATCAAATATCGATTTATCGCCTCCCGCCTTGAAAAGTAGACGATGTACCCTAAGAAAAGTGGACGTTGCTATGTAGTTTACATCCACTTTGTCAGAGGGCAGTAGTGCGCGGCATTTTGCGATTACAGGTTTTGGGCTGTCATGTCCTCTCTCAGGTTTCTCTCTGTTGGTACTCAGATGCCGAAGTGGCAAGGTGCGTAGATAGAGAAATGATCCAATGATCGAAGAGACACGTGCGCGCGCATCAGCCGCGCGCTGCGCGGTGGCGCATTATAAATACAACTACTAACTCTTGCTTCGAGCTGAGTGAAGTTGTCAGTGGAATCACAGTAGTCGTATGATGGCGCAGTATGTCGGCCGTTCGCGATTCGCGCCGGCAACAATTCTTTTACTCTTCGTTCCCGTTTACGTCGTCCAGCTAGCGAATGCCGGTCTGCCGACATCGATACCGTTGACGACAACGACGGATGTGGTGATAGTCGCCAATGCCGTTCGTCACGATGATGTTCTACCGCGCGTGGTTCAGCCTACGGTGAATTCGGTGACGATCATTTCGCAGTTGGCACTGCCATTCGGTGCCAACTCCGCCGACGATCGCCAAGTTCCTCATGTCGAGTTCCTCGGCACCGGCCTCGATCGCGATCTTGCAATACGATGGTCGCTGTCGAACCGCGATTGCCCGTACAACACGGACAACACTTTGGATGCGGTATGGACATCGTCAACGGGCACTCGCGCAATCTACAGATTCCGGACAGTTCCGGATGCGAAGATTACAGCCGTCTATTTTTGCCTGAGAGACGACAGCGACGAAAAATGGAACAACCTCGGAAATCGCATTTCTATAAAATACCTCGAACGACCTGAGTAAGTATTCTGTGATAGTTTCCTTTCTATTTAAGTATAACTTTGCGTAACGTTCTCTTCTCTTTCTCTTTTTTTATTTTCTTCATTTTCTTCTTTTCTTCATCTTTTCCTGTATTTTCTTCATTTTTTTTTCTTCTTTATCTTCTCCGTTTCCCTTCATTTTTGCACATACTTTTTCTTCTCCATTATCTTTTTTATTTTTTTATTCCTTTATCTTTTTTGTTTTATTGTCTTTATTTTTTTTCTTTGTTACATACTTTGTTTCATTATATATTTTATTTTATTTTCACTATTATTTCCTTTTTCATTTTATTTTGCTTTATTTTTCTCTTCATAATTTAATTTTTCTTTTTTAAATTTTTTTTTCTTCCTTTATTTTGTTTTTTTTTTTCACTTTCATTTCCTTCTTCTTTTATTCTTATCTTGCACAAATCTGTTGTTCCGTTAATTTTTCCTATACTTGTGTATTTTCCGTTAATTTCTCAGGTTAATTTTTCATTTTCTTTCATGATAAACAAAAAGCAATTTTTTAAAGTAGTTAGGATATATCAAATAATTATCTAAATTAATCACTGAGAGAATATGACTAAGAGTGTCTAAAAACAAACATGAAGTAATAGGAAATATGTAAGTACCATACTGGGCATTAATATTTTAGCAATGATATTAACGATCTTGGGAAATTCTGTCTAATTAAGATTATTACAAACTTGATGCATTGAATTGCACAATTTTCAAATAATTAAATATATATGTAAATGTGTGTGTGTGTGTGTGTGGAGGAAAGGTCCCTATTATGAGATACCGAGTTTATTTTGGATAAATGTTAGAAATCTATGGGCAGAATTTAAAAAATAATAAGTCATTTTGAAGAGAATTTAATAAGCTTTAAGATAATGTTATGTAGAATTTAATTCAAATTTTATTTTTTTTATAAATTAAAGAAATGTAAAAAGTGAGCAAATTGCAAAGTCAAAAAATTGTGCTCCTAATATGAGATGTCCCGAGAAATCGATAAAATGCAAAGTACATCAGTATTGCAATTAAAAAACTTTATTTAATGTTTCTAAAATACAAATAAACACAGCCAGTGCACGTGCAAAATGAGTATACGATGCATTGTAGCTGACTCGTCTTCAAGTAGTTGGAACTAAGCATCGCAGAAATAGGCATTCGATGTTTATTTCGATTGTCCTTTTTATTATTGAACAATAACTTTATACTTCAGCAACGATTTTCACTATGACATAGGAGCATAGGTTATTTCATATTAGAAATAACCTATATCTCATATTACGATTTCTATGCCTTACGATTTTACGATCATCAAATCTAACTTCTATAATTAAGCATTTCAACATATCACGTATTTTTCTATTAGTACGATCTTACTCTATCACCACATGAAGAATTTATTGCCAAATATTTACTTATTAAATAATAAACAAGGTTTAAAAGCTCAACGAAACTTGAAGACATCCAAAATTCTAAAATCTTTTTTTTTGCAACTACTACAGGCATGATCTAATAATGAATTTTCCACTAAATAGTTTTCAATCCAAGAACAATAAATTCATGGTGGAACTAATAAATAGCATTTATTAGTTTAGCGAAAACGCCACTATCTCATAATAGGGAACTTTTCTCTACATATACAATATAATATATATTATATATATTAGTTATACAAATTAATAATTAACTATTTTTTATTAAATTCAATATTTATTTTTGAAACATACTGACATAGTTCAGTCACGAAAATAATCCTTATAATTTTTTTATTATTTTCCTCCACCTTTTTTTAGGCAAGATTCCGATTCAATAGAAAAATAATCTTTACTTGCGATGAATTCATCAAACTATATTTTCTTACTTCAGCAACATTTCTAAATTTTTTGCCAGACTAAAGGCTGCGTTGTGGAAGCGCGTTCAGTGCTATCAGTGCTTTCTATCCTTGTTTTACTTCTAAAGAACGATAAAGGTAGAATGACGCATTAGCGCTGAAAGTGGAACAGCGCAGCGGAACGCAATCTTAGTCTGGCAAAAATTTTAGAAATGTCGATAGCAAAATATCTTCATGAATTTTTTGCAAATAAAGACTAATCTTTTTAACAAGTCAGAATTTAAAAGGTGGAGAAAGATAATAAAAAATGGATTACTTTCATGATTGAATCATGTCGATATGTTTTTCAAAATAATATTGTATTCCATAAAAAATGAAGAATTATTATGTATTTGAAGAATTATTATTTATTTGTACATCTAATATATGTTAATTTAGTAAATTAAAAATTGTACAAAATTGTGTACGTGAGCAGTTTGATAAGTCAGCGACTTATTTTCACTTTCTTTTTTTTTATATGCGACTTACTTTTCAATATAGTCTTCTTTTAAAAGTCATTGACTTGTCAAACTGCTTACGTAAATGTAGTATATATTTCACTATATAATGTAACGGTTTTTAATGTAAAATTTTTTATGTATAACCTTAACCAAAAATATTTGACAACTTATTAATTATTAATTAACTAAAAAATTTATCAAATTTACTGTAAATTATCCTTTGTTTTAAGAATCCTTTACATAATACAAATCACCAATAGAAAACAAAAAATATAGACTGATATTTTTGGCACAGGCTGTATACATATGTTTCACGTTTTGACGCAAATTCCATTTATAACTTTTTCCATTTCTCCAACAGAGATTTTTAAACGACCGCTAATCGTTCTAATTTTCCCATTAGCGTGTCATTCTATTTAAATCTCATAGAACTCGGATCCATGTGGCAACGTTCAAAATATTGTTTTATTAGTGCTTTTAAAACATAGGCATAGGAAACATGGGCGTGCTCAAGGAGGAGCAAAGGCCTCTTTAAATCTTAAAGAACAAAAATAATTATTTAAAAAATTACGTATTTACAGTACAATAAAATTGGAGCTGGAAATTATAGAAAGATTTTTTGAGAATCCAAAACGATCATAGAATAAATTTAAGTTCTTCCAGTTTTCGATGAATCAATTTACAATTTTAAGAGAAACATAAATTAGTAAATTAGATATATGTTGATTTTTATCTGCTAGTAATTAATTGAAAATGATAATTAATTTAAATAATTGATTAAAAATGATATTTAATTAAAAGTGATAATATGAAATAAGTTCATTAGTCCGTACTCCCCTCCCGGTTTAAAAATCTCAATTCCAATTTGACCCTTCCCCCTAAACAAGATCCTAGTTACGTGACAGAGAAATAGTTTGAAATTCCTATAAACAGATAATTCATTACTTTCTACTTCTTCGCCTATATAATCGACTCATTGGCACGAGAATGAAAATGATATGTATATATAATATATATA